ATCGATAACCCCCCCCCCCCCCCCCCACTCTCTTCTCTCACTAATCCTCCCACTGACTGCCCTCTCGCCGAGGCGGCAGCGCCCTCGCCCTTTTCAGCTCCCTGCGCATCTCGCGCTGCCGATCAGTCCTTGCCCTTTGCTGGGCCTTTTCAAACCCCGCCATGCTGATGCGCGTCCTGCTCGCCAAGTCATCTTCTTCTTCTTCTTCTTCTTCCTTGTCCTCTTCCTGCATCGTCGTCGTCGTCGTCGTCGCCGACGTCTTTGACAGTGGTAGCGGTGGTATGCCTGCTCGGCGGGACGCTGGCAGCTCCGGCTCCTCATCTTGCAGAAACTGCATGGAGCGGCGCGCCATGGACATGCGCGTGCGCTCCGCCAGCGAGAGCGTGTGACGCGGCTTCCCAGTAACAGTAACAGCAGCAGCAGCAGTAGCAGCAGTAGAAGCAGTAGCTGTAGCAGAAGATGCGGCGCCACGGGATTTTTTCGGCGACGGCGAGTCGGAGCCGCGCGAGGCCGTCGTCTCCGTCATGTGGTCCGCCGCCCAGCTACTCGTTGTAGGAGGCGACGACGAGGTCTCGTCGCCGTCCGTGTACTGCTGGCGCAGGTTCCCAGCGTGCGACGATGACGGCTGGTGTGTCGACGTCGTCGAGTAGCCGTCCTCTGAGTAGTAGGGCGCGCCATAGGAGCGGTCGCTGCCGCTGCGGTGTAGAGTGTGGGCGGCCGAGTCCGCATAGGTGCCGGCAGGGCGTGACGTCAGGCGGCTTGTCGCGGTATGTTGTATGTTCTTGGTTTGATGTAAGGGGTAATAGGGTGCGGACTCCGGCTCATCGTCTTCTTCGTCCATGTCATCGAGATCGCTTAGCTCGGATATCGGATCGCTAGAGAGGTGGACAGAGACATCTGTTCTGCCGTACTGCGCGCTCATGTTATACAACCGTTGCACGGCGTTTTCGAAACTGTTAGTCTTAATCTCCGCGAGCTCGTTGTCGAGGTCGTCTATAATGCTAGCGTACTCTTGGTCAAGTTGTTCGTCATTGGTCGGCCTTGTTCCAGGCGCAGCACCCACGTGCAAGTCTTTATGCGAGTTGAACTGCAAGTCGATGCCTTTCGACATTGGTTTCGGCGCCAGTCTTCGCTTTAGAGGAGACGCTAGCCGTTTATTTCTGCTGCTGCCGCTCGCCATGTCCCGGCGCAGCTCGTCCCATCGAGCCAGCCGCTGCTTCTGGGCATCGACACGGGTGTCCAGCTGCTGGAGCAGCCCGCGGCCATCATCTTCCAGCTCTGCCAGGCGGCCCTGCTGCACGCGCCGCCACACTCTGTCGTACGGAGTGCCGAGCAGCCCTTTGGACCCCTTGCCCGCTGCGTCGCCCGCGAGCAGCGTATCCATCCAGGCCTCGTTACCGGACCAATTGTTCCTCACTGTCTGCCGTAGCTTTTGGCACACGACCTCTGAAATGCGTGCGTCAGACTCGTTGGCCTGCTTCGCCTGGAGAATTTCACTGCGGCGGGCAATGCCCCTCTCCTTCATGGCCAAAAGGTCGCCAAAGTCGCTAAATTTGGCTGCCGCTTGGCGTCGCTTCTCCAGCGACCGCTTCAGCGATACTCGGTGTGCGATTATGAGTGGTCGCAGCAGCAGGTGGTCATCGCCCTGGTATCCTCTGTCCTCGAGCGCAGCCTTGACAACCAGCGGCCGCGTCCTGCTCTGGCCCGCCAGCGTGCTTCGCAGCACCGCCGAGGAAAACGCCGCCAGCACCTCTTCCAGGCGCTCGCCCTTGCAGTCGTCGAGCATCGTTTTCCGGATCAGGGCATCGCGACCCAGGGCGCCCTTCTTTTTCGCATTCTCGAGGCCGCGGAGCAGCGCCGCGCGCAGGCTGACAGACTGCAGCTGGTCGACGGCGGGAAAATGAGGTTTGAGTTTCTGTCAAGTCAGCATGGCCGTTTCCATTTTTTTCTCGATATATTTTACAAAATACAATCGTACCGATGCCGTGTCTTCTGGGTCCCAGATCTCAAAGAGTCGGTAGAGAGCCCACTCCACCGCCTGCACCCTCCGTTTGTGGTTCTGCGTAGTGCCGGCCAACGTGGCAGGTGTAATGGCGGGCCAGTCCTCGCACAGGTCGAGATCCAGCAGTCGCATGTTCGTCAGCAGCATGGGGATGGACGGGCTCGGGGCCGCCTTGACGGCAGACGGCGTCGGGGGCGCGGGTGGTCGACCGTGCATGGAGAGCGGTCGTCGCGAGGCCGCTGCCGCGCCTGGCGCGCCCACGCGATCGGAGCGCGTGCGACTGTGCTGAGCGGCGGCCATTGGCGCGAAAAGTCTGTCGTCCTCAGACCGGCCGTTGAAAATGTGTAGTTAGCTAGGAGGGAGCCTCTGCTAGTCGGTGAGCAGGGAGCTGAGGGCAAGGGTGGTCGTGGCCGTGGGGCGGTGATGCCTGCTGTTTGATGCCTGCTGTTTGACGAGGCACTCTCTATTTACCATCGGCCTGGCTAGCCAGTTTGTAGTTTGAGGGCAGTCTAGCGGTCAAATTAGTTTTTCAAATGGCAAGACCAAGAGAAAAGGGTTACAGCTGTTCCGTAGCCCGGCTGATTTCTTTGCAGAATTATTAGTAGAGCCTCGGTCAATCACGAAACTCGAAACAATACGCCTGCATCGTGTACTAACAGCCGACCCGCTGCGCTGCGACTCTTGTCGTGTGCAGGACCACAAAGTGCTAGACACTGTCATGTAACCATTTCCAGCTTCATCAATGCTTACAGAATTCAATAGAAAAAAAATCATTGAATATCACGAGCATTACTAGTACTCGGTGCGATTTTTGAACCAAAATCCGTCGGCCACAATCCCCACGTCTATGCCACCATGCCAGACATTGTTTAATGTCTCTCGCCGCGTAGCCTTGGCGCCCCGAGAGCCCATCAATACACCACAGGTTGGCCGGGGGTCCCAGGCAACGGCAACAGAAGCAATCGCCACGCTTGAAGCCAAGTAAGTATCGATTTCAAGCCTCGCAAAGTAGGTATCGGCTCTTTTTTTTTTTTTTTTTTTTACAAAAATACAAAATTAAAGTTCTCTATAGTTTGCCTTTTTCTTTCTGGAAAGGTCAGCTCTATGGCTCAAATGACTAACACGATTTGCTTCCTCGTCTCCCCTCTTATCCCTTGGCACTTGTGAAGATGTAGCGATGCATTGAACCCCCAGAATAGTATGGAGGATGTGTTTACAAGTTTCTTACTACTGACGATCGGGTGAACTTTCAAGTCATAAATTGTACTTGGTCAATCTTCTCAACTGGCCACAGTAAACTCACATTCGTATCAGCAAGCCAACTTGGGCCAAAGATGCGGCAGCTAAACCACCCAATCTGTCTCTCGGATATTTCAATTAGCAAGTTGAATGTGTCTTTTCACACACTCATATTGTTCTCTCAGCCCAGAGTAGCTCAACACTCAAGAACACAACTCCTTCACAACAAGGCGAATTACAATACATGAATACACACACTGTCCATAAAATGAGCTTGGTCCGAGATATATTTCGCCTAGATAGCTTCAATGAACAAGAGCGGTGACATTTCCACCACCCCATCTTCTTCTTCTTCTTCCTCTCAGGCTTTTTTATTCTCTCGGGCTTTTTTCCCTCACAACCCCTTCAACTGCTCCCGTCCACCCACGCTCTCCATCCACCTCTTGACATTCCCCCACCTCTCGATATCCACGCCCAGCATCTTGATATACGCCATAAACGCCCAAACATGCGTATCCGCCAGCGTATACCCCCTCTCCAACAGATACTCTCTCCCCTCCAGCCCCTTATCCAGCACCCCCAACAACCTGTCCAGCTCCCCCCTCGCCGTCTCCGCATCCATCTCCCTCACCCTCCTCACCCCTTCTTCCTCCTCCTTTTCCTTGTCCTCCTTGCTCATACCCGGCACAACCCTCGCCACCGTCCTCGCATGCATCGGCAGATTGACATTGGCCCACACGATCCACTTGGCCGCCTGCGCGCGCTCCTCTGCCGTGTCCGGATACAAGCCCGCCGCCACGCCGTGCACTTCTCCAAGATGCAGCGTAATGGCGGCCGATTCCCACAACGGCTCGCCAGAGGAGGGCAGGACGAGCGCGGGGACGTGGCCGTTGGGGTTGATGGCGAGGAAGGAGGCGGCGCGGGTGTCGCTGCGCAGGGACACGTCGATGCGGGTGGCGAGCGGGTGGCCGGCGGCAGCTTCGAGTTCGGCGAGCACGGCATCGGTGATGCCGGCGGAGGAGTAGTTGGCGCGGTAAAACTTGATGAGAGACATTTTTTAGTTGAGTTTGGTCGATTTTTTCTTTTTCTCTTGTGTGAATTGTCTGTGAGGGGAAAAGAGGATAGACAGAAAGAGAGAGAGTAGCGGTCGCTCGACGTCACCGTCGAGGATTGCCCAATATGTATTACGGCGTCAGCGCTGTTGGATTGTGGAGACGAGCTACTGACAAGACGATTCACGATGGTTCACGCTACAAGTGTTGAACTGGAGTACGTTCATGTTCATGGTATGTCCGAGGCGTCGAGCTGAAGAATTGTAGCCATTGAGGTCTGTTGAAACATGATGTGGCGTATGAGCTGAACTGGTTCACACTAGCCGCCACTTACACGGCACCCACGGCCGGCCACTCACCACTTACACGAACTACAATTAGCCCCTGTCATTCACGATGAGTCAGTCATGCGCCTTATTCAGTCAACTCAATTTTATTTCATCCTGAATCACCATTACAATAGCTCATGATCCTCTGTCCATTCGCGTTGCCTACTGCTCACCAGTCGCCGGGTTCCATGGGGGTTGGTACCCCGGGCAAGTCGGCTGCACCAACATGCCCTCCGCCGCCCGCTGCAGCTCCTGAAAGCTGCCCCTACGCCCTGTCTTGTTGTAATCCTTGTCCACGGGCCCGTACAGGAACCAGGAGCTCATCGGTTGTGCGCGCGTGTACCCGCCGCGGACGCTGGCCGCCGTGCGGTTGACGCCAATGTTGCCAGCCAGCAGGTACGCGTCGGTGTTGACGCCCGGCTTCGGGTAATCGAGCATCTTGAGTGGTACCCTGGCGTAGCCCACAGGTATCTTGTCCATTGGCTGGCCGTAGTACTTGACGCCGTCGAGCGTGACAGCCGCCTTTTCTTCTTTTTCCTGGTACTGGGACACGCGCAGGCTGCCGTGCTCGTCCCAGTGCAGTAGGCCCGTGAGCCAGCCGGTGATGGTATACTCAACCGCGCCCCTGCCGCAGGAAAAGTGATGCTCGGCGCGGACAATTTGGCGCCAAAACGTCTTGATCTCATTGCTGTTTGGCTCGTCAAAAGTCCGGACAAAGCGCTTGAAAATAGGTCGCAGATTCTTCGCATACTCCGCAGCCTCTGGACCAAACTCGGTCAGGCGGTCCAGCTTTTTCAGGAGCTTGTCCCAGTCCCCCCGAGATCCGAGCAGCGTGACGCGCGGCAGCCCGCAGATGATGCCGCCGGAAAAGGAAAAGTACTGCTTGACGAGGCCCATCATGAGCACCGTGGCCGTCATGCCGTCGTCCTCGTTGCTCGTGCTGAAGTTGGGCCTGACCCACGCCTCGAGCCAGTTTGTCTTGACGCGCTTCTGGATCTCGCCCGCAAAGCTCGCAATCACGTCGCGCCAGGTATACGCCCATACCTGGATCTCTTCCTGGCCATCAAAGTCGACAAACAGGTGCCGCACGTCCTCGGCGTGCGCCGCCATGTAAAAGTTGACCTGCGCCAGGACCTCGAACCAGACCTCGTCGGGCCGCAGGACGAGATGCTGGTGCTGCGCCCACGCCTCCAGCGCGCCGCGCACCACGCTGTCCGAGGATGGGTACACGGTATTGGTGGCAAATACGCGCTGGTCGGTGACTCCAAATTCGGGCGTGTACTTGGACAGGAGCAAGGAGGCATTGTACGGCGTCTGCGGCGCGACCTCTTCGGGGCAGCTCTGCGCAAAGAAGTCCACGGCGGAAAGCACGGCAGACTGTGTCTGGAGAGGAAGAGGACGCACGTCGTTGGCGACGTTGACGGTTGTGTCAGCGGTCGTGAGGGCCGCAAGGGCCGCGCTGAGAAAAGCTGTTCGAAGCATATTGTTAAAGCTCAACCAGTGGTAGAGGTTATCAAGTGAAGCCCAGTTGTGGTTGAGACAAAGAACAATGAACAGAGACAATGGGGACGGATTGACCTCTTATATAGACAAATCAGACTGCGTTGCTGTGTAGGCAGAGCGTGAGCCTCTGTGGGCAACACGACAAACGGGCAGTGAGACATGGAACTGTGTTGCTCATTCCTACAAGACCGAGTATCAGCCACCTTGCCGCCATCGTCTTGGCACGAGTCGGGAACTTTTGCTTTTCCCGTAATCGAGATGGACAAAAAAACGTTCCTCAGCCGCAAAAAAATTGCTGCATCTTGGCAAGTCCGAGTATTCCATCAGACCATTGTCCGTCATCATGATGTGGCGCCAGCCGGTTGAAGCGAGAGGTTCTAGGCTGGTGTCGCTTCGCCGCGGCTTGTTTGTTGCCAAGCAAACGAAGCGAGTAGAAGAACCAGCCTTCGGAAAAAATTTTCATCTCATTCAAGATGCAATAATTATGTATACGAGGCAGGCGCATATGTAGCAGGATTCTGGTATCAATATCTTGCGAGGCTTGCATGCAGCTGGTTGAGCCGCCTCAGGGCGCGGGATCGGGTAGAGAGTAAAGGGGGGGGGCCGAGAAGGAAAAAAAAAGGTACGTGCATGCATGGTCGCTGCAAGCCACCCGCGGCGACGGGCCGACAAGGTTAGACGCGGGCATAGTGGCGAAAGCGGTTCAATGTCGAGGACTCGGAAGAGAAAAAGAGAGGTGCAGAGAGAAAGAAGAAGAGAGAGAGGAAGAAAGAGAGGAGGAAGGAGGAGGGGAGTGTGGGGATCAGATTTCAATTGGGAGAAACATTGACAAAAACAGTCGATGAAAAGACGACAAAACCATCTCAAGTGGTACAGTTGATGGCAAAGACGACAAACACTACCAATCCCAAAGGCGATAGTAATTAATTAATTTGGGGGCCGGTGCTAATTAGCCAGTTGACCACGCGATGTTAATACGTAGCAAGTACACTTGTAGCTTTGTTGACTTAGGTTGGTCATGGCCCAAGTCCGAGGCATTATGGCATTCTTTCTAAAACACTCTTCTCAAGATAATTCTTGACGAAAAAATCCGAGTCATTTTGGTACATTTTCTTAAAGTCTTTTTTTACAAAAATGCTCTTCACAATAGAAATCAACTAGCAAGGTGTACGTACCATCATGGAAGCTCGCCTAGAGTGTGAGATGGCTTCAAGGGATTGACTTATGAGATGACTCAAAATGTCAACTACAGTTTTATCTGTTCATGCCGTTTCGTTCTCAACGTGCCATGGCCATTCTACTTGTGAACGTGGTCTACAGATAGCTGTTCGTGTTGCTTCGTCCCTGCATCCCATAGCCACTCTGCTTATGAATGCGGCCCAGGAGGTCAAGGTTTAGACAGCCAGCTAATTTATACGAGACAACTTCTGTTCAGTCATATTCGTGCACTGAAAATGTATACACGACGGCTTCTCTTGAATCACATCCATGCAATGTAATGATTTGTTGTAAGAAAAAGACCTTTTCGCTGTTTATCACGTGTCTATGTAATTCAAAACTCCATGCTGTCATGCCCATAATTCATCAACGCCATCCGGGTATCCCTCGTAACAAAAGAAAACCTCACAGCTTGGACCTCGAACCATGTAGTCACTCGCTGTCGGCCTGAACACGCTTGACAACCTCGACGAGCTGGGGGTAAATTTTTTCCGAAGTCTGCACGCCGCAGACCTTGCCGACGACGTCCTCGGGAGTGCTTTCCGACATGATGGTGGCCAGCTCCTTGGACTCTTCGTCGTCCTCGACGTTTTGGAAGCGGAAAGCCATCTCAATTGCGTCGAGGAGGTACTTGATCGAGCCGCCATCCTCGGCAATCTCGGCGGCGGGCCCGACAAAGCGCTCCTTGCGGGAGAGCTTACGAAGCGGGGCACGGCCGACGCGCTCGACGGCGTCCTCAAGGTGGGGGTTGCCGATGCGCTTAATAATCTTGTCCACGTAGGCTGCCTGGGTGGCCTCGTCGATGCCGTGCTTGCTGACAATCAAGCCCTTTGTCTCTTCTAGGGCGCCGCGGACCTCAGCCATAATGGCCTTGTCCTGCAGGGCGTCGTAGACGGTGCGCTTTCTGCGGTTGTAGCCGTGGTAGGCGGCAGTGGCATGGCTGGTGTTCACCGTGAAGAGCTTGCGCTCAATAAAGGGCGCGAGGTTGTCGACCCAGTTGATGCCCTCGATGTTAGGGATACCAACGTCCTCAAACGGCGTCTTTTCTACGACCCACTCGAAGAACTTTTCGAGTGTCACGTCGAGCCCGGCATTGGGGTCCTGCGCAGGGACGATGCGGTCAATGGCCGAGTTGGCGTAGCGGGCGCGCGAGGAGTGGTCCTCGAGACGGTCCGCGGGGGTGTTTTCTGGGCTCTTGATGAACTCGGCAAGGGTGTCGGTGGCACCAATGGCGTTTTCGCAGGCAATGACGGAGAGGGGCTTGAGCGACTCGGAGCGGCGGTCGATGCCCTTGGCGATAACCGGGGCGATGAACTTGAGAACACGGGGACCGACGGAGCAGGTGACGATGTCGGCAGTGCTAATCTCTTCGATGAGATCGGCCTCGTGGGTCTTGGAGTTGATGGCGCGGTAGTTTGTAATCTTGGACTCAGTCGTGCCCTCAACGCCAACCTCGATGACGCGGTACGAAGGAGAGGCGTTGATGGAGTCTATCAGAGCGTCGGCGACATCGGCAAATACGACCTCGTAGCCAGAGTTGTGGAGGAAGCAGGCAACAAAGCCGCGGCCTTGGGGGCGATTGTTAGCATCGTGAATGACGTGAATGGCGAGTGTGGTTGGTGTCCAAGGTGACGATGACGCGCAGCGGGGTACCGCTGCGCATCGGCGAAAGCCGGAGTGGCGCCACCGTTGGGGGTTGCACAACGATTGCACGGGATGAACGTACCAATATTGCCAGCACCGAAATGAACAGCCTTGGGAGCCATGATGATGAAGTTATAATGTTCAGAAGTCTTTGAATCGATGATACAGTGCTCTGGTGAGTAGATGAGAGAGAGAGCGGGTGAAGACTTTATAAGTAGGTGCAATTGATGAGTATGTGTGGTCGAGGTGTAAAGGAGTCAGTGTGCAAAGCCAATGGAAGGATGCAATGCAAAGAAACTTTCAAGAAACGAGTTGGTCTTGGACAGTAAGTAGGATTGAGAAGAAAAAAAGCCAATGAGGAAGGAGTCTGAAAAGTGAAGGAGTTCCGAGGAAGGCGGGGGGCACTGACTTTATAAGGCACAATGGCGTCTGAGGCGAGAAGGTGGCATGTACCCTCCGGATCGTGAGCTGGAACGCGATGGGTTAGAATTAAAAAGTGGCGCCGCCTTGGTCAGTGATGACTTATTCTGATACAAGCCCAAATTACCCTTTTTTAACTGGGGAGACACGGGCGGTTTGGCACATACGTCAGGCCTTGCAACGGCGACGACAAGAGCTTTGGAGCCCCCATCGCGTGGTGTGTGGGCATGCTGGCGGGGCGACAGCCTTTTTTCTTCGTACTCAGTATCATTAAGAAGTCGGGCCATGTCGCAATACATGACGGTGGCGTCGTTATGTTCAGTATGATTGGTTGAGGCGGGCTATTTGTGGAGTGTCCGTAGGTTACGGTGGGCGGGGCCTGGCTACCATTTGGCCGACGTGCAGCTCCGTTTCGCAGAGGTGGGCTTGTTCTCATGGCAAGGTGGTACCTCGCCAATTGGTGTATTTGTGCGTGATTCTCAAGTATCCAGCCTAGACGTCACCGTCTCCACTAAGTCACTGACCAACTGCGCCCTGCAAGCCTGTGGATTCGGTTTATAGCCCTCTGAAAACCCCTCAAACTGCAGCAAAATACAGCGCCTCCTCCCCTGTAGCGGTCTCTTTCTTGGCACTACCTAGGTACCTAGGCTGTGCTGATCCAGGGGATCCGCTCTGGTATTGGAAGCGCCACCATCTCTTTTTAGGGCGTTCTAAAGATAAGAAAACACTCTTCACTTTTGCTTGCTAATTTGAAACGTCATGACTTTTTCCCAATGGCAGCAAATTGATTACGGGCCTCGATCATCGAACCTTGTAACCGGCATTATGGTTACATGACACGACACAAATCTTGCACTAGACCTTGCCAATCGCAGTTCCTCACGATGGCTTCACATGTTGACACCAAGCAAGCGTACCACCAGTTTTCTCCGACTCATCTACCGTGCACATGCCTGACTTTGCCGACTATTTTACATGTGCCATACCCAACTACTTGCCTTCTGCGTTTCTGTCTGATATCATGTGCAATGCTCTGAACAGGGAAACGACATGTTACCAGCGTCGGTCAACCACCATAATACAACATGCCGCCAAGCCCAGATCCGTCTCATTGTCACATTTTGTCTCTTCCCTAGGGCGCCACGGGTGCCTAGGAAGTTGTCCGTACAAGCGGCTTGAAAGAAAAAAGATAGGGACCATTCCCCAACAGCCTATCGCCTGCAAGGACAGTGCACCCTCTTCAGCTCGTAACCATGACTACCTAACCAACCAACTACTGAGCAATAACTGACTAAGTAGTCGACCCCTCTCAATGGGCGGCGCCGCGGGGTTCAAAAAAATGACAACCCATGACGTCGTTTTTTTCTTGTTAGCGCAGCAGGGATCAAACCGTGCGTGCCGAACCACAAAGTATCACAATAAACTCCACCATTGTTACATCATTATAGACTTGGGCAACTCCAACTATTTCGATCACACTTCGATCACATTGATGTAATTTTTGTCCACAAAAATGACGGCATCACGTCCTTACTCTGGGGTGCATTTGTACCGTGGAGAAACTTCTATGGAGAAAGTTGGTGCTTGTTTCAACGCGAAGCCTTGATATCAATCAAATCAGGCAAAGATTGCATGGCTGTCTCGATCTATATCAAACCGTCTTATTCTCGTGAACCGCTTCATCTACTTGGTCTTTCTTAACCATCTAGGTTGGGGGGGTTTTTTTTTTTTGTTCCTTTTCTTCTTGGTAGCAACTCACTCTGTCGATACAACCGCATTTTAGAAACATACCCAAGGCTGGCGTACGGGTCTACAGCGCGTATGCCCGGCTCTGACGACGAGGCTTTTATTGGCTTTACAGTAGTTTTGAATGACACCGTACGTCCAACGTACCATTCAAGCGGTGGGGTCGCAGAATAAAAAAGTAAACAAAAAAGGGACAATGCCCGACCATGTATCGGTTGGCTGCAAGTCTCAGGGCCTCACTGGCCTGCGGCTCGGCCTCTTCTCCTCCGCCGTAATGCGGCCGGCGCTAACTTTTTCAGTAACGGCTGTCAAAACCCGGCCCTGTGCGTGATTCTACATTTCCAAAATGCGCGAAATTCTTGTCCAAAAGAGTCAAACACGAAAATGTCATGATTTCTAGTTGATATCATCATTTACTTTTGCGAATAAAGATAAAGCCGTTCGCGAGGAACCACTATCCCATTAAATGTCGTATGCTTGTCTTGATTGCCATATGTATCATCTTATCTGCACGGATGATAAAGCGTGCTTCCAGCGCGGAGCCTCACTGGCACAAATGTTACTCTGGTATTATCGGCATCGGGAAAAGTATAAAACTAGTTATGCCTCGGTTTACGTTAACTATGGTTCTCCCCTCTCGCTGCCACTCCGGTCTTGTCCGGCAATCCATTTTCGGCTCTTCCGCTCCGGCGCCCACCACACATCAAGGTACGTACCTCAAGCCACCGTTTTAGATGGCGCAAGCCCTTTCAAGCCACCGTTTCTTTTTCCCTCACTGACTACGGATAGTTACAAGAAACTATTTTATGTTCACTCTTCAAAGTACTGCACGAACACGTATCTTGCGCTGTAGTTAGCGCATCTCCTGCATCCTACTGAGACTCCGTGCCGTCTGACCCAAATCCATCACTCTCCGTTTCTACATGTGCCATTGGCGACATCAACCTCTCCTTTCAATTTAGTGCAACCCCAGTACTACCCCCCACGCCAATCATCTCTTCCTCTTGGCCCTCCTACTTCTCCCGCACCCATATGCCTGCAGCGCAACCATCACCCGTCTCCTCCATCCCCGCCAGCATCTCCATCACAACATACTGGTAGTAGCCATGCATCCGCACCGAACCCCTCACGACGGAGTCGTGGTTCTGCTTTCTTCCTCGTTAGTATATTTCCTTCCCGCGCCCTGCCGTGTCCGACTCTACCTTGCAGATCTTCCAGCCTGCCCCATTTCTTTCGTAACTACTCGTGCCGCCCATTTTCACGTCAGCTTACAAGCAAACCTCTGTCTTGCAAGCCTCCATGCCAGTAGTATACTTTGCGCAAAATGTAGTTCTCTCTTTTCACAAACTAGTTAGAGTGAGGGCCACCGCAAGAATCATATTCAAAATCCCGCTGCATCATGTCTCAATTCACTGATCAACGGCTGGCTCAGCCCCAACCAAGCCTGGAACGAGAAAAATTCCCGCCTCCACAACCCCCCATACTTTTCGAGATGTACTTATCATATGTCTTGTGAAGGAGGAGGCCGAGAATATGCACGGGAAAATCTTGTCCCCAATATATCAGGCATCTTTGCATTCCCTCCATCCCGCGTTCTTGGACAATCTATTCTTTCCACGTAATGGCATGAGGCTGGCTTGCTCCAGATGCGCAACGACGTGGCATGGCGTTGGATGACAGACATGTGCATGCATGCTCCGCCGCAATAGAGCGATATTCCATCCGCGCCTGCATAATTATAGACACCTGAGACTTTTCTAGCATCGTAACGGCATTGTGGCATTCCTTCTGTCTCTGTATCATCGTCAACGACACTACTGCCCTTCATCTCATCCAGCCACATTCCTGTCGAATCGACACCGGCACGCCATTACACTCCAACGTAATTGTCAATAAACCGGTTGGAAATGGGTAGTGCACATCTTCTTTTGACTTTTCGTTTTACCTATCTGGCTATCTGCACTATTACTTCATCGTTTTCATCTTGCTCGTTCCTTTATATTTAGATTTTGGAGTACTTCTTGAAAGCACTTAGCAAGCCACCGGTGGAGGCATCGTGGCCCTGACCGTTGCCAGACTCATCAATCTCCTTGAGGATCTTCTTGGCCAAAACCTTGCCCAGCTCGACACCCCACTGGTCAAAGCTGTTAATATCCCAAATGGCACCCTCCGTAAATGTCAGGTGCTCGTAGTACACAATCAGGGCACCCAGCTCTGCAGGGCCAATGCTGCCGCCCACCAAGATCGAAGTCGTAGGGCGGTTGCCCAAGAAGCGCTTGTGGGGAACGAGGTCACCCGCGGTGCCCTCAGCCTGCACCTCCTCATCCGTCTTTCCAACCATCAAAGCCTCGGCCTGAGCCAGGTAGTTGGAGGCAAGCATCTTCTGGTGCAAGTTGTCGGAGACAGGGTTGTGCGACTGGGCAGCCAGGATAAAGTCGGTGGGGATTAGCTTGGTACCTTGGTGGACAAGCTGGAAGAACGAGTGCTGAGCATTGGTGCAAGGCTCTCCAAACAGAATGGGGCCTAAATTGTCAGCTTTCAGGAACTATAGTCCGGGAGATTTCCAACTCACCAGTCGTGTACTTGACAGCAGAGCCGTCTGAAGCAATCGACTTGCCGTTGGATTCCATGGAGAGCTGCTGGAGATAGGCGGGGAAGCGGTGCAGGTACTGATCGAAACTGCAGCTTGTTATTACTTGCCTCGGATACACATGCAAACTACTTACGGAGCAACCAGGTGAGTCTGGGCCTGGAAAAAGTCAGAGTACCAGACGCTCAAGAGACCGCCAAGAAGGGGAATATTCTCCTTGAGAGGCGTCTCCTTAAAGTGCTTGTCCATGGCGTGGGCACCGCTGAGGAACTTGTGAAAGTTGTCAAAGCCAACGTACAGAGCAACGCTCAGGCCAATGGCACTCCAGACAGAGTACCGACCGCCAACCCAGCTCTCAAACCCAAACATGTTCTTGCTGTCAATGCCAAACTTGGTGACCTCGGCCTCGTTGGTCGACAGTGCAACGAAATGCTTGGCAATGCTTCCCTTGTTGTCCGTCTTTTCGAGGAACCACGTCTTGGCCGTGTTGGCATTGGTCGTAGTCTCAGCAGTTGTGAACGTCTTGGAGGCAACAAGGAACAGGGTCGTCTCAGGGTCCGAATTAGCGAGGGCTTCGGTAATGTGAGTGCCGTCAATGTTGGACACAAAGTGAAGAGTCATGTCCTTGGCGCCATAGTGCTTGAGCGCTTCGGTCACCATGACAGGGCCACTACCAAGATTAGGATCTTGTCAATCAAAGGAGGATTTCAGTAGACGACTTACAGATCAGAGCCACCAATACCAATATTGATAATCGTAGTAAGCTTCTTTCCGGTGAAACCGGTCCATTCGCCGCTGCGAACTTGCTCGGAAAACTCTTTCATGTGTTTGAGGACGTCGTTGACGCCTCCGGGAACGTCCATGACGTCCTTACCGTCAACCTTCATCTCCCAACCGCTGACATTGCGCAGGGCAGGGTGGAATACGGCGCGGTTCTCGGTAAAGTTGACCTTGTCGCCGCGGAAGAGGGCATCGCGCTTGCGCTCGACGCCGGCCTGCTCGGCAAGCTTGACGAGGAGGTCGAGTGTCTCGTCCGTCAGGAAGTTCTTGGAGAAATCGAAGAGTATATCTACCGAGGTGCCAGGGGCCTTGAATGTGCGAGTGAAGCGGTTGAATCGGTCTGGGTCCGAGGCAAAGGCCTCCTTCAGGACGAATGACTTGCTGATGGTATCACGGTGAGCATTGAGCTCAGACCAGGCGGGAAGCGTATTTGCGGGAGCCATTATGTCGCAAGTGCTTGAAGTTGAGTGGAAAAGAGAGGTATGCTATTCCGGGAACCTCAAGAGCTATGTTTTCTTGCGGGATAGGTTGGGACGACTTGTTCGGTACGTTCGGAAAGTCGCGTCTGGTAGCAGCTAGAGTCTGGGCTTTAATGCGGGAGATAGCCCGTTAGCAGAGGTTGATGTAAGCACGGACAAGGCAGGTAGTGAAACTTGTGCGAAAAAGTGGACAACTTCGAGAAATTCAGGAAGAGAGCTGGTGCAGCTTCTGAATGTATCAACGATGACCAATTGCTGAGCACTAAGCAGGATGGATGACGAAGCATCATCAATCAAAGCTTGTGAGGAGAGAGTGGAGGGGCAGAGGAGGGGGCGGGGCAGGCTTCCGTCGGAGATGTCTCTGGCCCGCTACGGCACTCAATTTGCGGCATACCTGCAACTGAAGTCAAGATAGCTGAGCTCGTCTGAGGTGAAGTTCTGGTAGTATTTTTGGATTGCTATTTGGTAGTAATTTGGGATGCAGGAAGAAGGTGAGTGCCAGAGCAACGGTGACGGAGCTTAGGTATGATGAAATACCGCACACTGACACGTTAAGAGCTTCTGTGGGCCCGCCACTTCTGTTACGCCGCGAGAGGGACCGACACGGCCGAGATTCTTGGGAGGATCAGCCCATATCAACAAGTTTGACATTTGAAAAACTAAACGATCGAAACATTTCAAGAAATCTCCAGAAAACCGGATAATATTCAGCGAGATAAACAGAGATAGAAAAACGTTAGAATATAAGCACATGTAGGAGGCTTGCCCATATATCCCTTCCCGTTCATGTCCAAAGACACCAAGAAAAGAGGCTAGATGAGACACAAAGAAGAGAGAATGATTTAAATGGCCGGATGGAGTCCCAAACAGTATTGGAACCGCCACCTCATATCAGAGGCCTATCTGTCCCCTACAGCCGCTACCCGCAATCAGTCCAGTGGTGGCCTCACAACCAAGCACGCCCAAGGCCTTGCGTCATAGCAGGCAGAACAAGACCGGATTTCTCCTCGCAGACCTTTGATAATAGACTAGCAATAATAATCTTGCCGCTGCCTTTATAGAACCGCGTGCAGCAAGATAGACAAACACTTACTTAGCTAATGAGTAACAGCCCTCACCTCTCCATAGTTGAACGCCCGCTTATCACTGGCTTACTATCATGCCTCGCGTTGCTTGAGCCCTCACCAAAACATTTGCCGCACGCATTACCTGGTTTGAGTGTCAACGAGGCAGGCTAGATTGATGTAGAATAGCTTTGTTCGTGCAGTGGCGGCTGGTAGCGAATTTCACACCGCAGTATGTTGTACCATCGAGACTAAAGCCTCTAGAAGTCGACCGTGGTATTACAAGATCCAAGGACGCATACACTAGCTTTGCTCACTCCATTGACAACAGCCTGGTTTGATCCATAAACTCAAAATAATACACCAAGGAAATGCTAGTATCTACTTATATCTCGGGCCATTAAGGCCGGCCAAGTGCATGCGGAAACGCTTGCTTGCCCATCTCATAATCTCTTCCCACATCCGTCTCAAACTGTCCATCACCTCCGGTGGCACACCATCTGAGAGAAACGGATCCCCTCCGCAGACCCGCTAAAGCAAAAAAGAAAGAGTACCATCAACGCCCAGAGTTTTCATTTGCCCGTTTGGCCCATTGTAAAAATCATAATGCTCAAGTCTCAGATGTTCTACTCATGTTCGGGAATGCTGCCCACGAATGATGGATCCCTCAAGCTGCCGCCAGCATCAGCCAGTCCGCCAATTGGCCTGTTGTAGCTGAATCCCAAGAATTGGTCCTGCATCGTCCCTGTTAGCGGCTGTCCCTCGACAAGTGAGTCGGAGGGCAACTCGTTTGTGAACACAGTGTCAAAGTTAATCACATCCAGTGCGTCGGCCTGCAACTTGTTAGTATTGTCCCCAATTTGCTATACGACAAATGGTTGGCACTTACCACACTAGGTTTGAATGTAGGCTCGTACTTGCGCTGCAGCAACTTGCGCCAATCTATGGCATGGAAGAACGGATGTGCTTTAATTTCAGCAGAGCCGTTAGCTCCAAGTCGCTGCTTCGGGTCGCGGTTGAGCAGCTTCGTAAGCAAGTCTTTGGCGGCCGGGGGCACGATATCGGGAAAGTGTAGCGGCTCCGAAAGGATCTTGCGGTACATTTCATTGGTGTTCTCATCATAGTAAGGTGGCAGACCCGTCAACATCTCGTAAAGCAAAACACCCAGCGTCCACCAGTCAACCGTCTTGTTATAGCCTTTGCCCATGAGAAGCTCCGGGGCAAGATACTCGGGTGTGCCGCAAAAAGTGTTTGTTCGATCCTCATCCTTCATGTCAAGCTTGCAGAGACCAAAATCACACAGGGCAATGTGGCCTTGGTAGTCGAGAAGAATGTTTTCCGGTTTGAGGTCGCGATAGATGACACTAAATCCATGCAAGCACTCGAGAGCGCACAGCAGTTCAGCCGTATAGAATCGGGCGCGGTTCACGTCAAAGCGGCCGTCCTTTTGAAGGTGATAGAACAGCTCACCGCCGTTGACAAAGGCTAGGACAAAGTATAGCTTCTCGGGTGACTGGAAACTAAACTTGAGCGGGACAATGAAGGGATTGTTAATCTGCGCCAACACTAATCGCTCAGCTAGGGTATGCCCAACTTCGGATCGAGAAATGATGTGCGCCTTGCGGATTGTCTTGAGGGCGTAAATTCGATTGGTATCCTTTTTGCGGACTTGCATGACCTTACCGAAGCTACCCTTGCCGACGACCTTGAGCAGTTCAAAGTCCTCAATCTTGAGCTTGCCAACACGAGTCTCTACGTACTCGACGCCAACCTTGATCTTGCCAGAGCCAAACTGGACGTTGACCCATTCAACGCCGCTCTGGCCCTCTCCATTCTGCTTCTGGGCGTGCTCAGCAGCAGCCTTTTCGCGATCTTTCTTGCTGAGCTTGGGATCATCCACGTATGGCTGTCGCTCTTCGAACTTGGGGTTGATGCGAGCGACGCCAAGGAAAATATCCTGGCTACGTCCCGCGCCAGGCGGCGCGTTGGGGTTGCGCATATACAGATGAATGACGAGCTCCGTGACGCGAGACACGTCGAACTTGTACTGCGTGTTGCCACCAGCCCATAGGGGGTTCTCCGGGTTTCCTTGAACGGAATTGACAAAGACTTGGACCTTGTCAAAATCGAGGAGAGCGTATGGCATATATCTTCCTGATATCCGACCGTGGTTTGTAGGAATGCCGGAAAAGCCGCCAGCAGACGAATGAGGCCGGTGCGATCCATTGTTGACCAGAGATCCGGCCATACGCTGGGATGCATTTCTAACGGACCCGGCGGACATTGCATTGCTCGTTGATAAGGAGCCCTGGTGCTGTGAGTTGAACGCGTTTCGGTGCTCTTCGGGGAGAGCAAAGCCCTGGCCTTCGTGGAGGGTGACGATCAAGATACCGGGTTTTGGTGTTGTGATGACCGGAGCCTGGACCTTGCCTGTGGCAGAAGCTGCAGTGCGTATTTGCATTAGCCTGGAAAACAGGAGCTTGGGGTTGGATGGCGTGTGTAACATACAGGCATCATTCTCGGAGATATGAACTTCGGATCCAGGGTTGGGCGAAGTCTTATCCTCTTTTTCTGTTATGGTCGAGGTCGAAGCGGATCGGGAGAATGGGCTCAGCGTCCCCAGATGCGTCTCCTTGAGCTCTGCACAAGTTTGTCAGTACTCATGAGCAGTCGGCCAACAGCAGCGGTATCGCCGTGGGATCGGAGACCCGATGAATTGTGCTGAGCCGCATGAGGGGATGAAGACGTACTCTTGGTGAGTTTCCACGACATCGCCATTTATCGCGAAAGCTGGTAAGATATCCTTGATTGAGGAACGGAGTTGTCGTGAGGCAAGGCTGCGGGAGGAAGCGTCGGGTTGCAAGAGGAGACGACGAGAGAGCGTATGTTATATCCCAAGCGGTAGCGAAACGGCTTGGCAATCGAATAAAGTGCCGTAGATTCGTAGCTAGATAAGAAAGGATTGAATGAGGAACTCGCGGGCGTGGAAGAGGGAAAGGTGACGGTGGATGCAGATGGGCAACCCCGCAGGCGGATAGGAATAAGTGCGGCCCAAGACTAAGGTATTGCGTGCCGTGTGTTGTGTGTATTGAGAGCTGAGCGAGAGCTGCGACGAGAAGAAATGTCAGAAGATGTTGAGATGAGCAGCGATGACAAAGCTGCGCACCTTTGGGCAATCAAGATCTAAAAGAAACAAAATCAGTTTGTCAGGCGACAGGCAGCGAAAGGGGCGAGGCAACACCGCAACAAGTGGTGGAGGCCAAGCACCAATCCCGCGGACATGACAGGCCTGAACAGAGTGCTGGGGCGGGCTGGGCCTTGGTGCTGGGCTGGGCGTAGTTGGGGCTGTGCAGACAAGTTGTGGTGGCTGTACCATGTACGAAGACAGTGCGTAATACACGCAGTGCATTTGTCCTTCGCCTGCTGTAGCAAATACTGAGGCGCCGGGGAAGTACAAGCCCCAGACGTGGCGCCGGCGGGCATTGGATCCATCATCATCTGGGCACTTGCTGAGATTGTGGCGGGGTGTTAGCCTTCACTCCTAACCAACAGGTGCTGATGTGCCACACTGTGTGGGTACCTATGTCATGCTTACTTAAATACACCAAAGTGCGCCACAGTTGCCCCGGTTGCGTGCTGATTATCCGTACAGTGCACACAGTGCAAAACTTGCTGGCAGATGGTAGGCAGGTGGCAGGATGGCAGCAACGCAGGTTGCAGTCAGGACCGATCGTCCTCAATCAGTACCCCTATGATTCAGAGTGGCAAATTGGCTGTCATTACTTTTTTGATAACGGTGCTTCTGGGGTCTGTGTCAGAATGTCTCTGGCCTCCGGAGCCGAAAGACTTTGCTGCTCGTCGAGAGCATTCACCACCGTACCCTGTACCGACGGTGACTCGGTCATCAGCTTCGCCTCGAGGGTGGTTTCGAGGGAGATTGTACGAATGTATGGACTATGATTCGAATCTGGTGTTGATTTTACAATTAAAATCCTGTAGCTGACTATGCCGCAAACAATTGGGCCGCGATGCAATGTGGTTGTGGTTTGACAATACACATACCACATCGAAGTGCGTAGAGAGTCGCAGCAAGAAGAACAATACAAAAGCGGCAAAGTCCACGTCCCAATTTTCCAAAGGGTCGCAAACAGTTACTTGTCGGGTGTCTGAAGTGAACAAACAAGACTATATTAAACCTAAGAGACAGAGTGCACGGGACTACTTGCCCAAACATGCAGCAATGATTCGTTGCTTTCCAATCGAGGTCACATACTCATTACACAACCTGCCGAACCACCACTAACTTTTCGGCTTGTGCAATAACACACGCATATGAACAAGAATTTCAAGGCAGCCAACGGTTTATTCGAGATCAATTGACCCAGCTATCCTTCACAAGGCTTCGGTTGCTGCATTGCCATTTACAGTGTAAGTGGGCAGTTGATGCCTTAAAAAATAGGCACAAACCCTGTCATTGCTTGGAGTTCCTATGGCCACATTTTCGTATCACGCTGCCCAATTACCGCTGTGTACGTCGGCAAAAGCTATCTTGCATTGTATCAATCACCTGGCAATCCGCCATTGTCATAGCCAAGTTTCTCTACAGCAGTGGAAACACATCTACCAACAACTCACATTCCTTGCCGCTCTTTCCCATGGTCTTTACCTGCACTCCTGCCCCAACTCCTAGTCCGCCAACCCCACTATCAGGGGATCCTCCACGCCGACTTTCCACGTTGACAACTCACCTCTACAACGCCGCGAGCAGCGGACAGATACCGTCAACATGAAGCTCGACGTTAAGGTACGATTATATTCTGCGATCTGGCATGTGATACACAATTACTGCTGCGGTGTTGGCCGCGCCAGGCTTGACGCTGCCACAAGGCGCAATCTGGCCTTCTCCCCCTTCGCGACCCCAGCTTCCAGCTTTCGAATTGATCCTGACATTCATTCCCCTATAGCGCCAGCTCTACACTCGCAGCGACCGAGTCAAGGGCATCGATTTCCACCCTCACGAGCCTTGGGTGCTCACGACCCTATACAATGGTACGGTAGATGCGCAAGCCTGCCCCCCAACCCTCCTTCTAACCTCTTGTAGGCAACGTCAATATCACCTCTTACGAAACGCAGCAGGTCGTCAAGACCTTTGAGATGACCGATGTTCCAGTCCGCGCTGGTAGATTTATTGCTCGCAAAAACTGGATCGTCTGCGGTTCCGATGACTTCCAGCTTCGTGTCTACAACTACAACACCTCCGAGAAGATAACTTCGTTCGAAGCCCACCCAGATTACATCAGAGCCATCGTTGTACACCCTACGCAGCCATTCGTTCTGACTGCCTCTGATGACATGACTATCAAGCTGTGGGACTGGGAAAAGGGCTGGAAGTGCGTGCGCGTCTTTGAGGGCCACAGCCACTACATTCTGTCGCTGGCCATCAACCCCAAAGACACCAATACCTTTGCTTCTGCCTGTCTGGATAGAACTGTCAAGATCTGGAACCTCGGCTCCCCTCATGCCAACTTCACCCTCGAAGCGCATGAGACAAAGGGCGTAAATCACGTCGACTATTATCCTCACTCCGATAAGCCATATCTTCTCACAACCTCGGATGACCGAACCATTAAGATCTGGGATTACACAACCAAGTCACTGATTGCGACCCTCGAAGGACACACACACAATGTCTCGTTTGCAGTCTACCACCCCGAGCTGCCCGTCATTGTTTCTGGGTCGGAGGATGGCACCCTGCGAGTCTGGCACGCCAACACTTACCGTTTCGAGACGTCTCTCAACTATAGTATGGAGCGCGCTTGGTGTGTTTCCTCACAAAAAGGGCAGCAATGCATCGCTGTCGGCTACGATGATGGTGTCGTCGTTGTCAAGCTTGGTCGTGAGGAGCCCGCTGTGTCCATGGATCCTTCGGGCAAGCTCATTTGGGCCAAGCATAACGAGGTCGTCTCTTCCATCATCAAAGGAGGTAAGCCATGGAACTGCACGAGCGAATGAAGGAGTCTTCTAACATGTAATTAGATGTCGAAATCAAGGACAGCGATCCCATTACGCTGCCGACCAAGGATCTCGGAACCTGCGAAGTCTACCCTCAGACTCTGATCCATTCGCCCAATGGACGGTTTGTTGCCGTCTGCGGTGACGGAGAGTACATCATCTACACCGCTCTGGCATGGCGCAACAAAGCGTTTGGTTCCGCGCTTGACTTTGTCTGGGCTTCCAAGGAAAATAGTAACGACTTTGCTATTCGCGAGACGCCTACGACTGTCAAGATCTACAAGAACTTTGCTGAAAAGTCAGGTGGTCTTGATGTCGGATTTCAGGCTGATGGCTTGACTGGTGGCATCCTTCTTGGTGTTACAGGACAGGGTGGCATCTCATTCTTTGACTGGGCCACTGGCGGCCTCGTTCGTAGAATCGAGGTTGAGCCCAAGCACGTCTACTGGTCCGAGAACGGCGAGCTTGTTGCCATTGCTTGCGAGGATACATTCTACGTTCTGCGATTTTCCCGGGAAAACTATGTCGAAGCCGTCCAGGCCGGCCAGGTCGACGAAGATGGCGTGGAGGCTGCTTTCGAAGTTATTACTGATATTAGCGAGACGTGAGTTGATTGACCGTTTGTGTTAGTGCACTCTCTAACATTGAATAGCGTGCGCACCGGCGAATGGGTTGGCGACTGCTTCATCTACACCAACAGCACAAACCGTCTAAACTACCTGGTCGGTGATCAGACCTACACCGTTTCCCATTTTGACAAGCCCATGTACGTCTTGGGTTACATCCAAAGGGACTCGAGAATCTACCTCGCCGACAAGGATGTCAATGTTACGTCGTTTTCCCTGTCACTGCCGGTCCTTGAGTACCAGACACTTGTTCTACGTGAGGACCTGGAGACTGCGGCCGAGCTGCTGCCCACCATCCCCAATGACCAGCTCAACAAGATTGCCCGATTTCTCGAAGGACAGGGCCACAAGGAGCTCGCCTTGGAGGTCGCCACTGACCCTGAACACAAGTTCGATCTTGCTCTCGGCCTCAATCAGCTCGACATTGCCCTAGAGCTTGCCCGCGCTGCCGATGTTGAGCACAAGTGGAAGACTGTTGGAGACGCGGCTCTTGCTGCTTGGGATGTCACCCTGGCAACGGAGTGTTTTACACATGCCAAGGACATTTCATCTCTATTACTGCTCTACTCGTCGACTGGTGATCGCGACGGCTTGACCCAGCTGGCCGCGCAAGCGGAGGAGAAGAGCGCCAACAACATTGCCTTTTCCTGTTACTGGCTGCTGGGAGACGTGCAAAAGTGCCAGAGCATTCTGACCAAGACGGAGCGATATGCCGAGTCGGTGCTTTTCGCACAGACGTATAAGCCCAGCCTGGCTGCGGCTGCCGTCACAGAGTGGAAGGACAGCTTAGAAAAGTCAAAGAAGTCTCGCGTAGCCAAACTTATTGGCGTTCCCGGCGAAGATGATGACTTGTTTCCTGAGTGGGACGCCTGGCTCAAGCTAGAGGGTGAGGGCGGCTCTCTGGTTGACGTTGAGGCCCCAGCAGTGAACGGCCACGAGGAAGTGGAAGAGGCTGCGGCTGAGGCTACGGCCGAGGCTGAGGTCGAGACTGAGAAGGTCGAGGAGAAGGCCGAGGAGAAGGCCGAGGAGGAGGAGGAGTAAGGCCTTGATAAATATGCATGGATTTTGTGTTGGGAAAGCAAGAGGCCATGTGCTTGGAATTACAGCAAAAAAGAAAAGTGTGTGCAAATATCAAGGGAGGCGGGCTGACGATGATGCAAGTTGGGTGTTACCGGTAGAGAGTTTAGAAAAGGATATAGCTTCTGACTCCCAGTAGCTTAATGGCATTACGTTTTACGTGTAATGTCGATTGAATCGATTGCGTGTAGCTTGACGTGGCGTCTGTCTGGTAGAGTCGAGCAAATGCTCACATCTGAAACTGGCCTGGCTAAGTCTCGCAGGCAGCAACCTTTGCACCGACCAACCACGGTTCGCCGAGAGGATCCCAACGAGTGACGTGGTCAAGGCACTTAAAAAGAACATGGAGAAAAGTACGGAGTATAGCACCGCCTCTTTTGATGTTGCAGCGTCAGCGGTAGTCTGGAGCTGTAATAAGCTGTCTAGGTCGGTATTTTACGTCGCGCCCCGCCGAAAAAAAGGGACCGCGCGGGGAGCTTGTTTGCGTAATAAGTGGTTGGCCATCTACCAGTATCCGACACGACATCTTTAACATACTTTTTTTTCTCGTGATAAACCCTCCTCCCCCATCTTTCTCCGTTATCTGGTCCAATTTGTCCTTGTTCCTTGTCGCATTGAACTTGTTTTTTTTCTTCTCAGCTCTTTGCTCTCGCATCTACAAGTTTCTTGTTTTAGCCACCGACTCAACTCCCCCCCATCCCTACAAGCTTGGCAACCTACAAAACACAGAGACGGAGACCGGGCACTCGCACACTCTCTATTCGTCTGCACCCCGCAAAGGCTTTTTCGCGGTCGTCCCAGACGATCTGATTAAAAAAAAAAGAGAAAAGAAAAAAGGCCATGGAGCTTCTTGATCCCGCCACCGGCAGGCCCTTGCCCGCCGACGCCATCCAGCGCGTGCTCTTCATCGCCGAAAAGGTGCACGTCTACAGCATCCCTCCCATGGCGTCGATGCGCGGCCACGTCGCCGCCTCTTGGACTACGGATCCCTCGCGGCAAATCTTTTCCGCCCGGATCCGCGTCATTGAGACATCTTACGATTCTTCTCCTTCTTCTTCTTCTTCCTCTCAGCTCAAAGTCGACACCGTACTAGAAGACCCCGCGACCGGCCAGCTCTTTGCCGCCTCGCCGTACGCGGACCCCGCGGCCGTCGACCCCGCAACCGACAGCTCCCGCTTCTTTGCGCTGACGGTGCGAGATGAAGCAGGGCGCAAGGCCGTGCTGGGTATTGGGTTTGAGGAGCGGCCCGAGGCGTTTGATTTTGCTGTTGCGTTGCAAGAAGCGCGCAAGGCGCTGGGCTGGGAAGCGGCGGCGGCGGCGGTCGGCGGCGGTGGTGGTGGTAATGGGCAACGGGCCGGAAGAGGAGGACAAGAGGATAACAAGATGGCGGCGGAGGCGGGGGGTGATCCGCCGAAAGATTATAGCTTGAAGGAGGGTGAGACCATTACCATCAACATTGGTGGCAAGTTTGGCCGCAGAAGACAACAGCAGCAGCAACAGGAGGCAGAGGGGAACAAGTCGGGCGCGAGCTTGCAGTCTTTTGCCCTGGCGCCTCCCCCATCATCATCATCATCATCATTATCATCATCATCATTGTCGTCGTCATCGGCAGCGGCGGGCAGGCCTGAAGGAAGCACCAACAGCGTCGTGGGCGGTGACGGGGGGTTCGCGCTGCCGCCGCCGCCGAGCGCCCAGGATGTAAAGTCGAAGCGCAGATCGCTCATGCAAATGGGCTTTGACGATGGTCAATTCGGGGAATTTGCATGAAAAAGACGGGGAAACAAGCAGAAAAAAAAAAAAAAAAAAAAAAAAAGACGAACAAACAGAAACAAAACAAAATGAAAAACCACCAACATTGCCATTGTTTTTTTCTTCTCTTTTTAAGTTCTTGGCCAGGATCAGTAGCCATGTAGGTACTATGACATGTCATATGTAAACAAGTTTGGAAATACATGGCAAACGGGAGCACGGGCTGAAAAAACAAGGGTAGCGCTGTATGCAACGAAATGGCAAGAGGTTTTATTCAGTGTGTATCAAGAATTTCAAATGTCAAATTACATGATTAATCTGTAGCTATAGGTTCGGATTCGGTTCATGAAAAAAACAACATTGTGCTCGTCAGGCATCGGGCCATGTAAACTGCATCACTGGCAGACTGAATCTGTGGCTGCGGTCTTTTATTGACGGTCTGCTGGGCGTCTCCCTCTCCTCCTCTACCACCTCCTCCTCCTTCTCCCCCTCCCCCTCCTTCTCCTCCTTATCGTCGTCTTCACTACCCTTGTCCTCCTCTTCCTGTTCAGTCTCGTCGTGCACGTAGTGGTACTCGAGGATGCCAATCTCGGGCCCGCTCCAGTTCTCCTGCCGCCACTGTCCACTCTCTTCGGGCTGCTCCATCGGTGCCTCAGCCGGCATCTTCTTGGTCGTCTCAACCTCCATCTCCTCGGGCACGGACTCGAGGTACTCGGGCGCGTAAGGATGGTGGCCGTCGGGCTCGTCGGCATGCACAAACACTGGTGCAAAGGCAGACTCGGGTGACGCGAGCGCCGCCGAGCTGGCAACGCTGCCGTCCGACGAGACGAAGCTGGGGCAGGGCGTCACCGGCATGACGCCGCACTCTTCATCTGCGACGCCGGCTTGGCTGCTCCCGGCCGCATCATCGTCCATCGTTGCCGAATGGGCGGTGTCGGCGGCGGAGATTGACCGCGTGCGTTCCCAGGTATCCCGGCTGTTTAACTCCATATACAGCTCACCCATGCGCGAAAATATGACGCGCTCCTGTTCCGACGCCTCATCGAGCTTGCACCGCAGCAGGTTCAGCAGCTTGCGCAGCCTGCGCCGCGTCTTGCCCTCGGCCCCGCGCTGCAGCTGCGACTGCGTCTCCGAGTACTCCTTGATGATGCTCTCAATACGCTGCGTCTTTTGCTGTAGGTACGTCGCCAGGTAGGCCTGCTCGTGGTAGATTTCCTCGTATGGCCGAGGAGCGAGAAGGCAGTGCGCGCGGGCCATTCGACGGCGTGGACAGTCGGGCCTATTTCTCGGCGCCTCTTTCGTATCTCGAGTGTCGTGTATCATCATCGTCCCATGTACTTGGTCCATCATCGTGGTGACTGTTACAAGTGGACTACTCTGTCTTGGTTTTGGCGATTTGGTGTAATATTGTCCGTGTAAGTGTGAAGCCGTTGTACTTGACATGACGTCCCTGTTGAGCAGAACTGGAGCCATGTTGATCTCAGGATAGAGGGCATGCAGCAGAGAGCAGGAAGAACAATAGATATACACAAAAGCACGCACCGGACGAAGAGACAAGACAAGTTAGCTCCAGTCTTTGTGTCAAAGAAGTCGGGGTACGGTCAACGACCGATATAGAGAGGCGCAGGGGGGGTTCTAGCCCGCGGGGCAAGGTTGCAAGCCAAGAGCTAGAAAACGCCAGCCAAGAAAGACTAGATGAATTTCGATTGGCTTCCCATTTTCCCCCTCAGCTCGCTCGCCCCAAAGAGTCGGGTATACTATGCCACAAGCAGAACGGTAACTTCCGACTCCTCATTAATTTTTTGTTTGCGCGGGCGCAGGTAGGTGGCTGGCGCCTTGATCAGAGACTTCAGAGGTCACACATACACGAGGTGTAGAACGACAGCCGGAGGGGCCCCACCACCACTAGTTGGAGAGGTGCGGCTGAATGAATGAACTGGTTGGGTTTCTGGTCTTTGCGGCGCATCGAAATAGTTAGGCTTGTGAGCGAGATTGAGTGGATGCTGTCATACTTGTTGTTGTTGTTGTTGTTGTGGCTTGTGCCTCATTGTCTTGGACAAAGCGGTTCTGTAGCACAAAGGCTTGGCCTAAACAAGACGCGCTCGCGTCCTGACCTGCAGTTCCTCGGTGTGGCAGGTGTGGCAGTCACTATATCTCTCACACACAAAAACGTCTTCTTGGCTTTCTAGATGGCAAACCCATCGTGCTTAGGAGGTTCGTTGAAACGCCACAATCCAACCTTCTCTGCAGCGTCACGTACCGACGCTACCTCACCTTGATTCACCGGCCTATTGATGTCTTGGTACCTCAGCTCGCCGCCGCCACCAGACTTGCCAGACTTGCCGCGCCTCGTTTTCCCTACATGCGCTCGCGGAGCGTACTGCTCCATGATGTTGACGAAGCAGTCCCTCGAGACGTCGGACGCGAGGTACTTCATAATTTCCACACCTTCGTGCTCCCGTCCCGGCATTACGAGATGGCGGATGAGAAGCCCTTGTTTCGCGATGCCGTCGCCGGTAAAGCACAGGTCGCCCACCTGTGCATGCATGGCCTTGACGCTTTCCCTGGCCGTTGCGGCGTAGTCATCCGACTTGAGCAGACGTCTGGACGTGGCGGGCTCCCACACCTTAAAGTCCGCCAGGTAAATATCCACTAGCCCGTCCATCAGCTCCAGCGATGCCATCGAGTCGAAGCTCGACGTGTTGTAGACAATGGGGACGTTGAGCCCCAGCTCCCGCGCGTGCAGGATGCTGAGGGCGACCTGTGGCGCGACGTGCTCGGGGGTGACAATGTTGATGTTGTGCACGTTGCCGACGGTCTGCAGCTTCAGGTACCACTCACCCAGCTCCTCTGGCGTCAAGTCCATGCCGTTGCGCTGGTGGGAAATGTCGTGGTTTTGGCAAAAGACGCAGCGCAGGTTGCAGCCGCTCATAAAGACGGCGCCGCTGCCATTGTGCCCCTGTATGCACGGTTCTGCAAATACAAAGGTTCCTCGCCCGTTAGCTTAGTGTAACCAAAGAGGAAATCATAAAAATAAACGCACCCTCGCCGAAATGAGGACCTATGACATTGACCTTGGCCGTGGCTCCGATGAGACACATGCCCGTCGTCTCGAAACGGTTCACGCCACACAATCGGGGGCAAAGGTTGCAATTCCGCAGATGAGCGTACGCTTTGGAACGCTTTAGAGCAGCATCACGAGCGCTCAGCGTCTGATAGCGCGGCACGTAGCTGTCGAGCAAAAATGGCGGCGCCAGATGGAGATGGCACGCCTGCGCCCTGACCACCGACTGCGGTTGGGGAAACGTGGTCGCCAGTCGACGCCTGATGGCCATCATCTTGGCAAGTTTGCCATTGGAACAGGGCAGTGACGCGCATCGGCGAGATGATGGCACTTGCGTTGTCGGGGCTGCTGACGATGCCGGCGGCAGAACTGCAGGTCTGAGATCGGCCAGCGTAGTTTGCTTTAGTAACGAGTTGAAGCTCTTTGGCTCTCTGCTCCCCCCCACCAAAATGCTGGGGTCACCACCAACTGCCGGGGTCGAGCTACGACAAGGTGGCAAACAATGCCAAGTAAATATGCATAGAACTGCTTTTTATATCCGTAACTTGGGAAACAATCTCGGTTTTAAGCAACAACCAGATTTACCTTGACGTTGTCTTTCAAGTCTCGGTTATGCGGCCTCGCGCCCTACTACGGGAAGGTGCAGGTGCTCAACCAAGTATAGTTCCAATGCATTTATCATTCTTTGGGGGGCCTGCAGTCACTTTCCTACTACTGCTATACCTGATTGGCCAGAAACGCAATGCCTGAACGACTAGAAAAGCAATGAAACCGGACTCGTTTTCTCTAACAACTAAATTCACACCAAGTCAAGCCAAGGCTAATGCTTCCAAGCTGTGCCGTCTCGCCTGGAGTCTCCGGCAGCGCTGCCCTTGCATCTGATTTTACGTGTCCCGAATATGCGGCTTCGACGCCCTCCAAGTTTACAATAGGGTCAAGTCGGTAGAGTAACCATGCTGTCGCCTTCGCTGCAGGGAATTGTGCACCTGAAATTCACAAGTATTACAAGTGGTGGAGCCAGTAGTGCTACTATAAATCACTTCTTTCTGACTTTTATTTCTTTCAACGGCAGAATTCTGTTTTCATTAAACATATCCTCGTCGAGTGTGCTTACATAACTGCTTGATAAGATACGAGGCTGGACTAGAAATGTTAATAATGAAAGATAGCTTTTCACCTATTTTACTTCTCTTAGTGTTGTGATTATTGAAGCACTCGATTCTCATTGGCTAGGAGCCAGGAAAGCCCCACTTTAATTTGTACAGTAGCTCTTGTGTGTGGCCTCAACACACACTGACTTGTAGGATAACAATCAACAACACGAATCAAGGCCAATAACCTCACGATGATTATCGTTGATAACCAACACTTGGTAACAGTACTATCACCTGACCACTTATGATTACGACTTAATTGATATTCCTGACTTACTTTAGCGAGTACTATGAGCAGATCACGGCATCTGGCGCGTTATCAGCGTTAGCGTGGTCCGAGATGCCTCGTAGAGGTCCGTGAGTGACAACAACATTCGTTATATCCTGAGTGACAAAGTCATGGCCCTGATTACAATCACTATTCAGAGATGGAGTGTATGGACTGGCATACATTAGCAGTCCAGCACTGACTTGCGATATCAAGGCATATTCCTTCATTCGACAGGTGAATGTATTCGGGGCTCCGCGGCGTTGAGCAACGGCCCTTGGACTCCCTCGAACTCTCCGTAGGACTTTTTGACCAACCCCGGCCCGAGCGGTGGCTGATGAATTAGTTCAAACTCGTTTCGGAGCATTGGTGCATCCCACGTAAAGTCATGGGGTTTCAACAATCCTCAGCCCCAGCGGCGCCTTTATCGTACACAGGAGCGCTATCGCGGAAGCAAGTTCTCGGCTACAGGGCCCGAAAGCTTCATCTTTGGGGGGCTTTACACAATTTGACATTCAATTCGAAAGAGAAATCTATCCAACTAGTAATCAGGGAGAAAAAAAAATTGTACGATATTAATTCCCGGTCGGGATGATGGTGAAGACGAGAATCTAGCTGACTGCACGCGTAGAGGCAAAGAAGTTCATCAGTGTTGTAGGCAACTTGCCCAACAGCGAGCACAAAAAAAAAAAGACAAAAAAGGAAATTGAAGATGAATGCATGTTCCATGTTCGAATTACTGATTAGTTCCACGGCCGGCTAGCGAAAGTAATCGAGTCGTGTCCACGGCTGTGCTTCCTTGATCGCTTCGTGAGGCTGAGGCGTGGATCTCACCAACGAGAAATCTGAAAACCTCAACTTTCAGAGCTACAGCTTGCATTCATTGCCTCGGCAGCTGTAAGCTCAGGCACTTTGTACAGTCTTGTCGTCCGCCGCCGCCGCCGCCGCTGCCAGTGCATTCGCCCGGTCGTTCTTGGCAGGACCTTGCCCTGCGACGCCGCCCCCCCGGTTGCTTTTATAATGAGCAAAAGTGCTCGGACGTCTATAAATTCTGCAGTAAGCAAATGAACCATTATGCAGTTTTTTTTCCCACAAAGTACCAATTTGGGAGCCACCACACGTGGCAGCCACGCCTGTGCCCGTCAGGGGGGGCGGGGGGGGTTTGGGTGTCCTTCCTCGTACGGATTGGTGAACTTGAGAAAATGCTAGCTATAATTAGGCCCGGGGGAACCACTCGGGGATAATTCCATGGCCTAGGTAGGTATAGTCCGCTGTTTGGGCTGAGCAGATGCCGGAAAATGGCAACACCGGAGCCCGTGCTCGGCCCTCGCTGTCACAATATGCTCAATCTGGTAGGAGGCTCAAGCGCTACCTGATGAGTCCGAGTGTAGGACCTCGTCCATACGGGATACTGGGTCTCGTAAGAGGAATAATACAGCATGTCTTGTGGAAAATCCTCTCCCGGAGCGTACATAAGTGTAAGCCTTCCCAGTCGTCGATCATTGCCTTGACCTTTCATCACTTTTTGAAATCCTACCATACGTGGCACGCAACGTCCTCAAACGCAGCAAACCGTCCATTCTTTTCTTCTTATTCTTCTTGTTTTCGTCTTCAATTCAATACATTCTTTTTTAAGCCAAACAACCAACCCACATCGTTCAAAATGAGATTCACTGCCGCCCTCGCCGTCATCTTTGCCGCCTCGTCCGTCTCCGCCGCCCCCGTCTCCGCCGCCGCCCCCGTCTCTGCCGTCGCCGCCTCCGAGGTAGACGCCCGCGGCGTCATTAGCGACGGCGCCCAACGCCTCGGCAGCGGCGTCCAGTCCCTCGCCGACAATGCCGGCAACATGATGGAAAAGGGCGGCGCCATGCTCTCCAACGCCATTACCCAGGCCGGCCAGGGCGCCGACACGGCCGTCGGCAACGTGCAGGCCGCCGCCCAAAAGGCCGGCCAGGACGTGCAGGCCACCGCCCAAAGGGTCGGCCAGGACGTGCAGGCCGCCGCCCAGAGGACGGGCCAGGAAGTGCAGGCCATGGTGCAGGACGCCGCGGATGGTGTCAGGGGAATGGCCAAGGAGGTCGGCGACAATGCAAAGGGCATGGTCGACGCCGCCGGCCACTTGGCCAAGGGCGCGGGCAACCTCATGAATGGCATCGAAAAGGGACTGACTAGCTGCGCCAGCGGCGAGAACCCTGCCTGCAACAAATAAACGGAACATGATTTTTTGGTTTCTGGCTCGTCATTCAAACCCTTTCTTTCCATCTCATCTTAATTATCCATCTTCTTTCCACCTTTCATCTTATACTCTCATCAAATCAAGCATGTCCTCGAGTGATGGACACGGATGGAAGGCTGATAGAGAAGCCATTGTATGGCCAGATGGCGGGAAATATATATTAATTAGCGTTGAGAAAAATCTAAGCTCCAGTCCGCTGTATATTTGGATGCAGAAATAACTCTTCCATCAAATAATCATGGCTCTTTGTGCATAAACCTCGCAACCAGTCAGAAAGTACTTGCCAGTTTGGTTTTGGCCATCATCTGTTTCAATGACGAATCAACTTGACAAAAGGTTTTACCACCAAAAAGGTATACGAGATTCGAGTGCATTTTGCTAGAGTAGTGCGAGACAGTGCATGTCCTTTGGTAGCCTGAGACGGTGATCGCCCTTGTTAGGGTTGCTAGATTTGTGTGCACAAGGCTCTCGCCAATCTTTGATCATGCAGTAGTAATCTTCCGCATGCCAAGACAAGGAGAATTGGCCGAATATGAAGAGCAACAATCACTTAGTGCGCGGGAATATGATAAATAATCATTACATTACGTCCTAAGAATAGCTACCAATACTCAAAGATACGATAGGTAGGCGTACAATCCCATATTTTCGTTCATTGAATCCACCATAAACATAAAAGCATCAAGAAGAAAAGAAAAGTATCCAAAAGTCTTGGTGTTATTGCGACAAACATTGAACCAAAAATGTACAAGGAATTTCTTCCTGCACGTACCGACTCAGCAGCTAGGCCAATGTGCGCCTCATAGCACACGGGTATCAAGAATTCCACACACACACACACACACACACACACACACACACCTACCCCTAACTTCCTTCCTTTAGTA